CCATAAATGATAGTGATCTCAAAACAGCCGTTGGCTTCAACAGACGTAAACATGTCATAACGGGTATTGGTCAAACAAAATGGGGTGTCTGTCGTTTAATAGCAGAAGCCATTTATTTAATTTTAAAAAAGTATTTTGGTGATAAATTAAGCAGTGGGTGTAGTTTGTCTGAGTTTTATTTTGTTTTGACCTTTACCAATTCATCATACTAGCTATACTTCTATTTTGTTAATTAACATCCTTTCATATTACCCGGTATTTGATAATATTCCTCCATTAAAGAAGAATAATGTGTGGCCTATTTATCTCTCTTCTGCTCCACATTAGCGATTCCACCACTTTTAAAATAAATAAATTCTGTCTTGTTTTCAAACGTAAAAGGTTAAAATAAGGAAAAGTGGTCGATTTAAAAAAAATTATGAACAATACAAATATGTGAAGATGACATAAAACACGGACCCCTGGGAATTCTATAGATGGGATCAGGTGCCTAGAATCACTAAGCATCCCGTGATCAGTTTTATTATCAGGTAGTCGATTTAAGTATGAAACAACTCAGCCAAAATAAAAGAAATTATTATTTAACATAAAGTTTCATCCTCTCCAAACAATCTAATTGGATAAGATATATAAAATTTTAAGCATATGGCAATATTCTATAGTCTATATGTACGTGAAATTTACAAGTGGCAATATTCTATAGTCTATATGTACGTGAAATTCACAAGTGAATGTAGATTTCGATTATTGTTGACCGGTCGGCAGGGGATGCTCACTCCTCCAAGGCACCTGATCCCACCTCTGATGTTTTGGAGGTCCATGTTCAAGTGCAAGGGTGCTGTCATCGTTTCCAGGTTGCTTCCAACTGTGCACTGAAGTGTGGATGTTATTGACGGCATTCACCAAAAATAACGAATTATGATTTATATAGAACTATTTCAAATGTGGCCATCATTTTAAAAGTTAAAGCATTTGCCACCTTAATATTATAGCTAGTTTTTGACTCAAGAGTTTCTATCAAAGCAGAATTTTATTTTGTTTGTTGTTTTGGAAACAAGATCTGTTTGAGAAACACTGATGCTCCAGTCAAACTAGCAAAAAAAATGTGAAACATTAAACTAATTGTAACAGAATGTTCTTTGGTGATTTATGAAAGTTGAAGATGTAGGCAATGTAATATAAACATCGGAAATGTTCCATCGAGTCAATATTTTGAAATTTTGTACTATTTTGTTGAAATAAAGGGGGGGGGGGGAGAAAATTAATACATGGAAACACGATTTTTTTAAATTGTCAAGCGTATGGTGAGGATTTAAATTTCTAAAATGCAAAATCAAAATCAAAAGGTCATGGTCTAAAGATCGAAGTTGTTGTACCCAAAGGAAGTATGGTATACACCTGCGAAATATGAAAACCCTAGTTCTTACTGTTCAAAAATTATATCCAACGTTAAAATTTTAAAAGGTATGTCAAACTATAAGGTAAAGTTCAAAAAGTCAAAAATATACTGAAAGGCCTTGTCACAAGAATACACATGTGAAGTATGAAAGCCCTAGCACCAACCAACTGTTCAAAAGTTATGACCCATGTTAAGGTGTGGGAATTTTTGTAAAAATGTGTCAACTTCCAAGGCCAAGCGGTCACAACTGGTGGTACCCAAAGAAAGGTCCTGTCATAAGCAATAATGCTGTGAAATATGAAATCCATGGCCCTACTAACTCAAAAGTGATGAGGAAGGTTAAAGTTTTTGCGAACAGAAAAACAGACAGATATACAGGCAGCCGGACGGATAAGACAAAAGCTATTTACCCCCGAATCTTCGATTACGGGTCATAAAAAGATCTTTTAATCTAATAATCGAATGTCAATAGCAAGATTTTAATGCATTTTGAGAAGAAATAATGGGAAAAAAAATAATGACGTTGATACTGCTGAACAGACAGGTTTAATAAATGTTATTTGTCTGTATGATTTTCTTCATATCTTTGTACTAATTTGGAAATTATTTATACAGAACTTATTTTAGTAAGAACCCTAGGTAAATTCCATTGAGCTCTTTTTTCGGGTTGTATGACTTGGAGGTCCGTGTTTGCTCTGCTCCTATTTTGTAGTGTTTTATGGACTTTTGATCTTGAATACTGTTCGTGGGGGGTTGACGATCATGGTACTTATTTAATACAATCCTTTTTATCCCCCCGTAATCGAAGTTTCGGAGTATGTAGTATTTGCCCTGTCCGTCTGTCTGTTTATCTGTTTGTCCGCAAAAAACTTTAACCTTGTTCATAACTTTTGAGTGGATTAGGCTATGGCTTTCATGTGTAACAGATGTATTTCTTGTGACAACTAAAGACCTTTCTTTTGATACCACCAATTTGGCCTCCTTACTTTGATGTTGGAGTTTGATCCACTTTTATCAAATTTTCCGAACCTTAACTTTGAATAGCTTTTGCTAGGAATTTTGTACTTTAGATGTATATTCACTTTGACAAGACATTTCAATAGGCGTAAAATATTGGACCTTTTGACCTTGACCTTAGAATTTGACCCAGTTTTAAAAAAAACTTAAACCTGACCATATCTTTTGAATCGTTACTACTAGGACTTTCATATTTCACAGATGTAATAAGACCTTTCTTTGGATGCCAACAACGTTGACCTTTTGATCTTAAGCTTGACCTTTGGAGTTTGACATGCATTTGAGAAATTTCAACCCTCGCTGTGAACTGCCATAAACGGAGACATCAGTGATTCACAAACAATCTTGTTCATCATGTCATATTATGTACATCCATGTACAGTAATTTTTGTAGTGATTATTCATACAAATAAATAAATAAAAACAATTTTGAATTAATGTTACATTCCTAAAATATCTGTTGTTAATTTGGTCTAGTGGTGTCATATTATAAACAAGTAAGGCGCCTTGCATGTCCATTTGGTTATTTAATCGCCATTTATGCTTTTACAGTTAATTTCAGGCCCAAATCAGCTTTCATCATTCAAATATGAGAGAACTAGAATACAATCCCAGATATTGATGCATTATCCTCGATCTGTATATATACTAATTTGCCGTTGAAGAAAACAGTCAAGCCTTTTTGTTTAAGGACAGATGATACCAACAAAATTTTGTCAAAAGTTTTGAAAATAACAACCTGGGTCATGCTATAATGAATAAAACCAGTAAGTTTCACCGCGTAGATTTTTCATTTTTATGCCCCCGTAAACGAAGTTTCGGGGGCATATAGTTTTTGTCGTGTCTGTCTGTCTGTCTGTCTCTCCGTCTGTCTGTCTGTCTGTCTGTCTCTCTGTCTCTCTGTTTGTCTGTTTGTCCGCAAAAACTTTAACCTTGCCCATAACTTTTGATTTAGTGGAGCTATGACTTTCATATTTCATATGTGTATTCCTTGTGACAAGACCTTTCTTTGGGTACCACCAAATTTGACCTTTTGACCTTGACCTTGGAGTTTGACCCACTTTTACATGAAAATTTTAAAATTTTACTTTGGCCATATCTTTTGAACGGTAGATACCAGGACATTTATACTTCACATATGTAATGTTTGTTAAAAGACCTTTCACTGGATAACAACAACTTTGACCCTTTGACCTTGACCTTGTAGATTTCCTTACTTGTGAAAAAACTTTAACCTTGGTCATAACTTTTGTACGGTAAAGAATGGGGCTTTCATACTTCATACATGTAATTCTTGTGAGAAGAACCTTCATTGGATACCAAGAACTTTGACCCTTTGACCTTGACCTTTGAGATTGACCTACTTTAAAAAAGCAAACCTTGACCATAACTTTTAAAGAGTTAGGGCTAGTGCTTTCATACTTTACATATTTGATCCTTATGACAAGACCTTTCTTTGGGTACCACCAAATTTGACCTTTTGACCTTGACCTTGGAGTTTGACCCACTTTTACATGAAAATTTTAAAATTTTACTTTGGCCATATCTTTTGAACAGTAGACACCAGGACATTTATACTTCACATATATAATGTTTGTTAAAAGACCTTTCACTGGATAACAACAACTTTGACCCTTTGACCTTGACCTTGTAGATTTCCTTACTTGTGAAAAAAAAATTTAACCTTGGCCATAACTTTTGAACGGTAAGGGATAGGGCTTTCATACTTCATACATGTAATCCTTGTGAGAAGACCCTTCATTGGATACCAACAACTTTGACCCTGACCTTTGAGATTGACCTACTTTAAAAAAGCAAACCTTGACCATAACTTTTAAAGAGTTAGGGCTAGTGCTTTCATACTTTACATATTTGATCCTTATGACAAGACCTTTCATTTAATAACAATAACTTTGACCCTTTGACCTTGACCTTGGAGGTTGACCTATTTTTTAAGAAATTGAACGTTTACCATACCTTCTGAACGGTTAGGGCTAGGGCTTTCATGCTCTACAAAAGTATTTTATGTGGCAAGACCTTTCATTTGATACTTATTACATTGACCTTTTGACATTGACCTTGGAGATTTTTGTAATTATTAAAAAAGTTTAACATTAGCTTACTTTCAAATTTCACAATTGTTTTCCAGTGAGAATACCCTACTTTTGGTACCAATTAATTAAATTTGCATTTAAGAAAAGCTTAATCTTTGCTATGTTGCCATACGGGGGCATCAGTGTTTTACAAACACATCTTGTTTTTTAATTCAAAATTGCACAAAAAATGGAATTTGAAGTGAAAAATATTTGTATAGAATAATAAGGATGTTTCAGAAGGGTAGAATTTTGAATGTCACAGAAGGTTTACAATTTCTTTATATTCTAGAAATTTATCATTTGTATCATTTGCAATGAAATTAGGTCAAAAAATATATACCAATCCAGGCATCCAATTTTTTTTTGTATCATATGCCTTTAATTTGAATTCCTGAAACAAGGGGTTTATCAATATACTGCCTTCAACGTCTTTTCACATTGGTTTGTAAATGTATAAAATAGGGAGAAAAACAACAAGAAAATATGTCTTTGCTGAAGATATTTTTATTCTAACATTTTTGCAGACTAAAACATGACATTCACACTGTGACGTCAGAAAAATAATTTACATAACAATATTACATTTCATTGTACAACGACTTGTAATAACTATAAACATAATGCAGCTGATTCATTTTCAGAACACGTGCAGTTGAACAATTGAACAACACAAGCAATAGCACCAACTTCCACCGTATTTCAACTATAAAATGTAATAATCAACCATCCAACAACCAACATTCAGATCTCCTTCCACTCAAATTCAATCATAATTTAAGTTAAAAAAAAGGCTTTGGATTTCTATCTAAATAAACAATATTAATTTGTCGTAAGTTCTGCAACCAGTCTTAATCATTATTTTATCATGACTTTTGTGCTCAAAATTAAAAGCTTAAAATTTCTTTGAAGTAAAATGGACGCATGCACCAATATTACTTGTTCATTCTTTGGAACGAAAAAATTTCATGAAATACCTTTACATGTATGTACAAAGAATATACAGATGGAATGTCACAAAGCAATTGAACACTAAGGATATAAAAGTATTGCTTTGCGTATTAACAGCCCGGTAAAAGAATACATTTTAGAGAAAACTAGTATTAGAGCAGGCATCAAAAGATGATTGAGGATAGTTAACAATGTCCTATTTGCACCTAAAAGATAATGTTATTTATAGCTACAGAAAACAGCGATCGACTTGACTAATTTGATGTGATTGTACAATTTATGGGTGTAGTTATGACATTAAAAAAATCAGTATTATTTATAGTTTTTCCTTCATCAAGATGGGACGACACATTGTCATAAAAAGTAACCGAGGCATCAGTAATTAAGCTAGTGTAATCAATGTTATCATAACTCATTATAAATTCAACAATAGTGCGACAAGGAGACAGGAGGTTGTTGATCAATATTAAATAGAAGTATATAACGAATTTTGAATTTATTAATGGCTACTAAAACAATAAATAAAAATAAATTATAACTTATGAACTTATATATACAACCCAGACCATAATCGTCTAAAGATTAAACATCTCATACAGATAACAATCCAGCTGTCTTCATTCAGGAGAAAAAAAAATAAAATTCAGCCATTTTCCTACACCAGACATCATCAAAAAAAGTCTCATCAAGATTTGTATTGTAAAAATATTAAAGTTACATAAGATACTGCTGTCACAGCCTTATTATCATAAGAAGACATAGACAATATTACAAATCAAACAATGTAGAGCAAATCCGGACTAAGTAAGACTCTTCCCATTGAGTAAAGGAACTCCGCGTACCAATGGACGCCATCTTGTTCCGTATCACGTGATATGAATGGAATGTATTTTGATAAAGTATGGAACCATCTAAGAGGGCTGCAGGAAAAATGTGCGATTAGTTCACTATTGATTACACCGTAACATGACGTCACGACACCATTCACAACAATGGTCCCGTCATAAGTCAGTGGTGCATAAACACCATTCACAGTTTGTGACGTCACGTGTGTCACTAGTGACGATCTGATTTCACTATCATCGCCACTGATTAAAACAAATTGACCAGCTTGAACTGTTTGTGCGTAATTTGCAACAAAAGATTCGATAGAAGATGAATTCGTAACAGACGTATAAATAAGATGTCTGTCAGTAAGAGTTATGGTTCTTAGATCACTTGTGGTAATAGTAAAGTACAGTCCACTACGCTTTTGGTCCTTATCAAGGAACGATACAACCTCGCTGTAACCGAGTTTTCCGTTGGCTGTTAAGCTCAGAACTTTGTCGCCGACTTGAAGATCTTCCATGTTCTTTGTCCCACTATGTTCCGTATACACAGTAGCCAATGGTGGGAAACATCCTCCAATCTTAATTGCTGCTGAGGAATCTAAAAATATATTTGAAAAAATAATAGGTTAAGAAAAGTAATTTCTATCCATCTATGAGTTCAATGCATATCTAAATTTATGGACTTAGACACGAATCCAATTCATTAGAATTTTGCAAGACATACATGTTTGTTATCCTCTGCAATATGGACTTCAGGTATAGTTGAAGATGTTTTAAAAATTACATTAACTGGAATTGTGACCATTTCATCATAGTTTGTTGAGTTGCCTTGAGTTATTGATTTGTATTTGTTTAATTTTTTTCGAATAAGAGTTATTTTGCAATAGCTAAAATGCAAGTCTTTATAAACGGTATACATGATATGTCAACTATTTTTCAAAATCCATGAGTAACATGTTTCTAAAATTGAGAGTAATATTTCTTCGCGTTTAACAGTGATAGACGGACAGACGACAGGGAAAAGACACCCTAGATGGAACTTTGCTTTGCAGAGAAAAAAAAACTATAAAATTTTTTAACACAATTAATGTTATAATCTATCGAATCTATTAGTTGGAATATTTCAAAGAGTTCTTGTCAAAAACTATTTAATTCGCTAAAATAATCTTATTTATACATCTTCATTTTTGGATATTTCATTGTAGGTTTAATAAGTAATTTCTCTTTCCGAGTTACATTTAAGTGAAACTAATTTAACTTTGTTTGTCACACACTTTTTAGAAAAAATACTTGACGTTTTGTCAACATAGGAATCGCTTGAAAAAAGTCTTAGTCATATAAGAGATCTAAGATTTCTAAATTCACTTATGGATACACCGAAAACATGGAACTTGGTCTAATTCTCTATTGATTTCAATGTATGAACAATCTTTATATTTAGCATCGAAACACTCGAAATGTGAAATATTTGTTCAAACAATTGATGTTTAGGTGCTATTAGATTTCAAGAAAAGTTTAAAAAGACTGTTTGCCTTTTCAAGTCAACAAATACTGTGACGATCTTACAAAAGGATGATTCTATGATTGTTTTTATAGACTTTTGTCAACTTACACGCCCAAATTTGAAAGTTACTGATAACATTAGCTTGGCTTAAGTTTGGATGTCCTTAAGGGATTTTCCGTTTTCAAATACAGCGTCATTTATTTAACCTTCAAGTACTTATAAGTTATAACTACATATTATAGTCATTTAAATATAAAGAAATGTTTGTCTTAGGAATAGTTATTACATTACATGTTTTTAAAAAAAATTAAATAAACGTCATATAATGTTTACACTTAACATTTCGAATATCACCTTATAAATTTGAAAACTTTCTGAATCTTAATTATCGAAAAATCTCTTTAGAAAATACCAAGATTTCTGAAATCAGTTACTCTTTATAATGGTATATACATTAACAATTAAAATACAAATATCAATCTGTTCTTAAAAATAGATCAACAAGCGCACAAACTTTAAGAATATTAACAATAAAAATACAAATATCAAGTGAACTGCTTAACTTGAATTCATAATGATAAAAAAGTGGCAATAAACTCATTGTAACTGATTCAGTACTTTAACTTATATGGAAAAATCTGCAAATTTTACCTGATTTAACAGAGCAATGGATGTGACCCCTGGACTCGAAGTACACCCAGTCGAATCCGGCTTCCACCGCCAGTTTTGCTAATGTGCCATATTTGGCTCTGTCCTTGTCGCTGGTTGTGATGTCCACGGCTCGCCCCTCGTAATGCAGGGAGTCCTTAGCGTGATGACCATCATCGTCCCAGGCCTCGGTCACCCGAAGTTTGATCCCCTGCCACGTGTTCATGACTGATATTGCTAAAATCTTCAGTTTGTCTTTGCATCTCTAGAAAAGAAACCATTTATAGATGTTACATCTCTACGTAGCAGAAACATTCTAGTCAATGTAAAGAACAAAAAATTATCTCTTATTCAATATAAAATTGCGCTTTAAAGAGGGAGGGGGAGGTGGGCTAGAATAAAAATCGCAGCTTAAGGTTGACAGAGTATTTAAGGTGCATCACCCCGGTTTTAACATCCTCATCACGTCCTGTTTTCTGTATCACGAACCAAACGACAGAGACTCTCAGTTTTTAACACTTTCTTTCAAAGCGTTTACAATGCCCGCTTTGTGAATTCTCGTATTACAAAAATTTATTGGAAAGTGAAGAGCAATAGATTTCGTTTGAACTAGGATTCAGTCATTCTTCATTTTGAAGTATTAATGCAGCAGAATAGGGCGACAGATTAACGTGTTTTGAAAACTGCCAGTGGTAGACAAGCCGCCAAATCTACAATAATCTCTAAAGTAATTTATTCCAGGACAAGATATTTCCCAATAATGCAGAAGAATTAGAAAATCCGAAAACTGCCGTTTTTATTTCATAAGACTTAAATGCACTTCATATCAATAAAGATGTTTAGACGCTATGGATTACTATACAAACATTCCTGCACAAACCCCTGATTTAAACGACTTACAAATATGTAAATTTAAGTTGGGATTACCATTCCTAACAACCCTATATTTTTGGTTGTCGTAAATACATCTCTTATACGGAATTCCTCGGTATTCATGCTAGCCTCACATGAGGCGAGAGGGCGTCGCATCAGGCGAACTCTTATCACCTACTGAATCATTTATGTACACAGTACATCATCAGTCGTATTCATTATGGTTATGGTAGACTTATTTGGTCTCCATGATCTTATATCCCAAAATCTTTGTGTCCGCCATTCATTTACATGTGACTCTATGGTTATCTATCAAGATATATTATATATAGTATAATAAAAATAAAACACGAAAAGAAAAAATATTTTAACATACGCGTCATTCTGGGGTCCATTTTAACAGAATCTTTCGTGTCAATGTTTAATATGATGAACTATACAAGTATTTTGATTTTTGTGTTAACCGCGAGGTAAATATAAATTTATTAGATGTCCCCTTTATGATGGAATGGACAAGGGCTCCTTTTCTCTTTATAGGTAGGTACTTTAGACTGAAAAATAAACACAGAGATCAAACGGGTGAAGTAAACAAGCAAGGTTTGAAGTAGAAGTACTATAAATATTGAGTAAAGACATTGTACACCGTTCTTGGTCAATATCGCTGCCTCTCCCAATATAAGGACGGGGCAATTGTTTGTTTTTCGGTAATTATTATATTTATAAAATTTTAAGTATATGTTGGAACATTTCACTTCGCATTGCCTTTAAATATTGAAACGGATATATACCCCATCTTATAAAACGTATGTTGTATTTCACTTTGTGTGTTTAGTTTAACTTTTTGATGTTGACTTAGTAATATCGTAAAAAATCTTCAAATAGTAAGATCTAACATGTTTGCAAAAGACAGATCACTTTCTCATGAGGCTCTTAAAAGCTGCGCTGAGCAAATAGTAACTGAAAAAAATGTCGGTTACATCAGAATGTAGTATCAAGAAATCTTTAGATTTTGTGTTATATTTACATTGCCATAAAAGTAAACTAGAGAAAGCGACAAGAAAACGAGATAGGAAAGTTAAAACAGTTTTTACATGCCTCAAAACAGCGCTCACAAATCAGGCTATTTGTAGTGATTTGATTTATTGCGGGAAAATGAAGTGCGTTCGATGAGAGTCGACAAATACCAATCTGTGATAATAAACGGCATCGCTTATGTCATAGTGCAAGCGAGTAGCATTGGCGGAAGTCTTGCTTGCGCATTTCGTCGCTAGGATTGCTGTACTTTGAAAAATGTCGATATAACAAGTCCGAGAGGTGTTTTTATTAAATGAAGTCAAACAGTGTTATCCGGGGATCTGAGTTAAGTGATCTGTGTTTGAGTTGAAGGTGTACGGGGCTAACAACACATTTCATGTTTGGCACGCCGACCGGCAGTAGAGCTGCGCCATCATAAGATGCAAAATCCGCAAAACACACGATTAATTGCACTGCATGTTCTTTTCTTCATTAATTTGTTGAAAGAGTCAATATTATCTCCACTAAAATAACTGTTTCCATTCTAAATATAGCGCTCATGCTAATTACTCTTTAAACTTCGTAAAAATAGATTCCTTTAATAGTAAGCCTTCAAAAATAATTGTGAATGGTAAAAATTGCAATTTTATAATAAAGAACATCGAGGCTCGCAATGATTTTTAAGTATTTGGCTTATATATTAAATATTATTTGCTAATTAATGATTAACACGATGAAAAATAAAATACCTGTGATGATAAATTTATTCAGTAATATTTTATGTTTTATGCCTTAGATGAATTTAAAACACCTGGACCAGTGAAATGGCATGGGATTTAAGCCAGGTGTTTAGTAATTAACGGTTTATTAACTTGAACTCATTACATAAGCTCATTAATTGAATATTTGCATTTGAAACAAATTTAAAGTTTGTCGAGTTTGGATTCGTGTGTTCAATCACAAATCGTACAAACAAAATCCGATACAGCACGTTTAATCGTATTAAAGAGGTCATACGAATAAAGTGTTTTATCGAAGATAAGGACTACATTAAGCTCAGTCCCGCCTCAGTACTTTGTGTCAGATTAAAATAAAATTTGGCTTTTTGAGCCCGATTAAAAAAACAAAGAAAATTTTGTAAAAATATTTGGAGAAATAAAACAACAGATTTTGAATATCATTAAATGTAGAATTCACATATTCCAGTTTATAAGAAGGCTTAGCCAAAATACAATTCATTAAAAAACAAACAAACAAAACATAGATTGATGTCTTCGTTTTGTCCCGCACCTGTTTGATGAACATGGAATTTGGAAATAGCATTTCTAGTATGTGACTGTACACATTAGATTATGTCATGTAACGGGATATTATATTTTCTATCAAAGCTAACCCAACAGTTCTGGTAGATCAAATCTTAATTTTTCACCAACGGCTGAAAAATTAGCTTGTCGTTTTCCAATTTATTTTCCTCGAATCTTTAATTCTTTTCAACAATAAAAAGATGGTCCAGTTTTATCACGCATTACTGAGGTGTTGATTAAAACATTAAAAAAATGTCCAAAGTGCAGACAAAAATAGACAAAAAGAAATCCGACACTAGGAAACATGTTTTCTTATGTGCATATCGTAGATGGGGTTAGGAAATGCACTTTGTGGCAAGACGCGGGTATTAGTCTAATCCATTGAGAGACTTTGTCTTTAATCATTTCAGAACCTTGTCCCTTTAAGCAGAAAAGAACAACTTTTTGAGGTCTTAATTCTGACTGTTTTCTTCTGATCATACTCGTTCCTCTGTGACCTTGCAAGAGGCACTTTTAATTGTTCAAAAAAGCAACACGTACCTTCTAAGCATCTCACACATTTTCCATTGTGAATAAGTCAATGATTCTAAGGTCTGGTTTTATATTACGATACAAGATAAAGTAGCCTTTTGAATTAAGTAGAGGAATTTAATTTGATTGAATGTTTTTACAGTCCGGATTGATCGAGGTTGGCCAGTTTGACTTTGTCATTAATTCCCTTCCCCGTTATCGGAATTTTATTTTAATTATACAGGAATTTGTAAACTTTGAGAGCATTAAAGTATCTAAATTATTTATTATTTTATCTTTTAAATAGATAATTTTGTCCTGAATTTGAAATTCAATGGAAAAAAGATAAATAAAATCTGTTCGCCTGAAATTTTAAAACAAGAACAACTTTACTTGTACGATTGTTCTATGAATTTTCATGTACAGTATACAAATAGGTGCCATTCTTTATCACCATTCAAAATTATGAATTAAGTGTATTGAATAATTGTGTGATTGCAGATTTTTACTAAATTACTAAATACTTAATAGATGATTTTAAATATAAATTGTCCGGTTTAACTCAAAAAATACTAAGTGATTGTTGACGAAAGCCGACCCTTGGACAACCCTAGGTTTCCTACCCCCGCAGTCCGTCTTCTGAAGATTTCAAAGAATCTCTCTCTGAAGGAAGATTTAGAACATTTGCATTTTAACAAAACAAGCGCAGTCCACATGCTATATTGCTAGATTATCATACATTTATACAGTTAATAAAATGAAAGAAAGGGCAATACATGAACGTGAAGGGAGATTAAGTTGTTAAAATTTGCACATGAATGTAACTGAACAGGTATCAAATGTGATAAGCTAAATGTTCAACCACCATTTACTAGGTTTTCTGGAAAGTTAATTATCAATTTGACAAAGAAGGGGTCAGTCATTGATAGAAATTTAAACCTCTTGACCAAAGAATACAGAATTTAGTTTAACTACCCTCTGAGATATCATACAGTATTTACACATTTAGACGACTATTTCACATCAAATCTCTAGCAATAGCTTCGTGGTAGTAGTAGATGCTCAAGAAAATCATAACTTGCTGGGTATTAATAGTATTTCAAAGAATCTTTTTTTTAATTGAATCAAGCTGTAAAAAATTTTTCTGTCATATTTTCATCATATTTTGAACAAGCTTCTCTGCAAGTGGTCTTGAGAAAAAGACTGTGATGGAGGAACCTTTTATTAATCAAACATTTTGAAAATAAAATTGAACAAAACATTTAACTTTTAAAAAGTGTTTTGACGAAATGAACAAATATCGTGCTAACAAGAATTGTCATTCCGAAGCTTTACAGATGTCAATCAATTTCGATCGTCTGGTACAATCAGTAATAAAGCGTCCAATTGAATCAGATTGATAGAGGCCACAATTAATCACCAGTGACCTTAAATTAGAGATCTTTTTCTAGTACCGGGTATTAAGTGTATTTATTAATGGAAAAAAAAAAATGAAACTGCACATGCTAATGTGCCTGCATGATATTTCGAGAATATTGCCCGTGAAAGATACTAGCAGTCCATTAATATAAGCCAAGATAGTACAGATGAGATTTTGGACTACTTTTTAGCGGGAAAATGCATAGAATTTGAAATTTTAACCTACATTTAAGTTACAGGTTTTCTTAAAATTTCTGTGGCTTTTTAAATTAGAAAATACAAGCAATAAAATTTGAATGAAATAATTATAAATCTCACAGAAAATGTGTGTTAAAAACGACATGTAGAATGTACTATAAAGTAGTAATTATTTAAATAACAAATGAATTTCCGTATGTAGATTAAAAAATTAATCTATAATTTATTATCTAATATCAACATATAAGAAGACTGATTACTTATATTCAAATAGAATTAAAAGAACAAGTGTTTTAAATTTAATGCACGTAAGACAATTTCAAAAGTTGGTTGCAACTTCATGAATGGGTGGTAATGCAAGAACAATAAGATAGTTTTGAACATAAGAAGTAAATTTAGAAAAAATTCCACCTTACAGATGAGAATTTGACGCAGAAGTTTTATTTGACTTTTGAGGGATTGCTGCTAGAGTTTAAACCTGCAATATTTGTGTTGTCAGAGTACCCCTATAAAACAGAATTTGTTGACCTGTTTACCAAATCATACTTTGTCATTGATTTTTGTTGGCTTGTTTTGTGTCAAGTAAACTCATTGTTAATCATTTTGACTTTTATATCGTCTGCAGCCCTATGTGTCACGTGGCGTCTGAGCAAATTATCTTCTGCTTTTGAGATACAGTAAAGGAAATTGCATTAAGGTTTATAAATGTCAGAAGTAAAAGGAATAATACAGAGGGATCTTTGAAAAAAACTCAAACAAGGGATAGAGGAAAATAAGTTATGGCAATTGTACTGCTATTAAACTTATCTTCACAAAAGCGTTAACAAAAATGATCTATATACTACTGTAGACGTTTTATGAAGTGCGTTTGCGCTGGGGAATATTAGTCAATGACTTTTTATCAGCTCCGCCGTCCTGAAGCTCGAGCAGCCGACGGATAGTATGTCCTACGTACCGTCACTTTTGATGTCCCAATTGAATGAAAAAAATGATGCTTATTAATAAAAAGTTTATATTGTCCGCCAACTTATCTTAAATTTGTATGAATCATACTCTCATGAATAAATGCACTTTCAAATCATCGGAAGACTTTTGAAATAAATACACTTTGTATTATTTCAGACTTCTGTGGTTTTATTGGTATTGACAAGAAGAAAATACAAAAACAGCAGGATGCAAGGTCTGTTTTAAGCAGAATTATTAAAATCATTGTAAACAAAAATGCGATTACACGTAACATTGTGTTAATTATAGAAACAATAATTCATAGGAACCATTTCATTCAAAAATATTTCCCAGACGCCACGATAATTTGAAATGAAGCTACTAAACGCCTTCTAGCGATTGACTAATCAGATGTTGTGGATATTAAATTTAATTGTACATCGATCCCGAGGCAAGAATATTTCTGTCTACATGTTAGGTATCAACCCATCTACGAAGCTGGGGGGTAACCACAAGTTGATTTGAACATAAGCTGTTGTTAAGTTCCGTTACCAGATTTTCATTAACGCAGCGATTGAAAATTATCAACACAAGGTTCTTGTCTGTATTTTCTTTGCTTAGTTAGAAAAAGTGTTAAGAGAATCCAACAAGTTCCTCTTACAAGAATGATGATGAAGACAGAAAATTATCTTATAAACCATATTAGACTGGAATCAAATTGCTTGCGTTAGTGTTATGTACCATGTAGTTCATTAATTCGTATAATTTTTCTTAGTGTATGTAAAATTAGGAATAATGAACTTAATTCTTTTTTTTTTCATTTGTTTTTTTTTTTCGAATCCAATGTATAACTGATATCACCAGTTATAATGACAGCAAGTTTCTTACCTAACTGTCTCGTTTTATCTTCCTCTCACGCAAATTGACATTGATAAGCCACTGTGCTATTTTTCCATACATTGCTAGGAAAATGATGAATTTATCGGATTTTTTCTTATCATTTTCACAACCGTACTCTAAGTCAAATAAGCATATATATTATGCAAAGAGACCAAAAAGTGCGAAAACAGTGAAATTAGTCTGGAGGAAATCTGATCTAGACTTCACACTTAGAAAGTGACGACCGTTTTTTTTCCTTGGATATTTAAGTAAGAGAAAATCGATGTTAAAGCATCCGACTCTAAAAATGAAGATTAAGCAGGGAAACGGTTAATACCATTTTGAAAGAAAAATAAATTTGGAACAGAACCAGTTATCAAGATGTTATAGATAGTGAAACTACGGAAACAAACTGTTCGTTCTTACAATCGCCGAGAGAAGTACACGTTTCAAGTGAATTAAGGTCAATTGATTTTGTTGATAATAATTTTAATTATGGTAACAAATTAAGAAAGAAAACACTTAATGTATCTAAATACGTAACCATCGAACGCAAGACAGGATCATAAAAAAACCTAACCCTCGAGAAAAAAGTGGAAATGACATTGACGTTGCATAATGCAGGTTTAACGTTTCCTTGATGTTGGGACAGGGTTAAGATAATTAGTATACGGCGCTAATTCATTTACTTTACAAGGGCTTTAATGGCTCTCGCATATCCTAATTCGTCAGATTTACTCGTGTCGTCGGATTAGGGACATGAAAAGGGTTTTGTTTTTCTTTCCAAATCCAGGAATTAGCCATCGGATCTACACTAACTTATTAAAAAGGGAAACACAACAAAAGTGAAAGTCTACCTGTGTCATGATTCGGTCAGAACCGTCCCCTTCTTCATCTCGGAAAATGATATCCGGGTTGTCATTTGTAACCAGCTTTTTGAATTTGGGGTCGTCCCTTGTAATGCGTCCCTCCGCCAAGCCGCTGGCTCCAAGAGTATTTTCCGAGACGTTGGGCACATGTTGTTTATACACTAGAGGAGTCCTATTTCCGGTCCTGTGCCTCCTCCCCGACCCCCTAGGGGAGGCGCACTGCAAGGAGGGTCCGGTAAGAATCAGAAACGCAAACACTGCTGTTTGTAGCGCGGAGAGTACCGCGGTAGAGCGCATACCTATATCCCCTGGTCTACGTTCGATGATGGTTGCCTGTAACGTCACTTTCACGCTGAACACCGTGCTAACTCTCGCACCTGTTTATAAGCCTTCGTGGATTTCTCTGGATTTTCTCTGTAATACATTTTGCTGTTAATTTAAAATCATGATTCAATTTTTGAAAACTTCCTAGGTTTAATGAGTTTTTTTCTCTTGTCCCCCACAATTTTTTTTTCTCTCATTCGTACAAGAGTTGTTCCTTTTTATTCATTCATTCTTCACATAATATACTATAACAGTACCACACTAATCATAAAGCACTGGTGGCGCAGTTCAATATATCTATATTAATATCCTTAAGTCTCCGTCACTGTCCGTAATAATCCAGTAGACGGATTCTGATTGGTTATGGGTGTGTACATGCCCTGCTCCTTGTATTTTTTCCCCTCGTTCACTAGTGATTACATCCTTTTTAACTGTTTAACAAGCCACTAGTAGAGTGAATCAGATAATTTGAACCAATAGAAATCTACCCAGTCCATAAGTTCACAGCCCACTTTAAAAGACCGTACATCTGTCAATCAGTTACATCTTCGTGCTTTATCTGATAAAAATCCTTCTTGTTTAAAATCATTAAATCCACCTTCTCTGGGCCTTTCACTTCATAATTTTCTGCGACACTCAAATATTGAGTTCTAACCGCTTTGAAGTTCACTAAATTATATTTTTTCAGCATTTACATCTGTAGAATTATTTTTGGTGAAGGTTTTCCATTTTTTCCCAAATAAAGAATTCCTGAAAATACAATTAAAATCCACATTTTACAAATGTTGTATCATATTTAAAGTATAAAGCAAAAAAAGAATAATAATTTAATGTACCGAACTAGCAATCCGATTACAAGCTTAAAAATTTATTCGAAATTTAATTCAATTTACCGACTGGCTATAGGCTTTGTGACAGTTCATTGAAATGATTGACATCTATAAATGTAGAAAGAGTTAATATAAAAAGGAATTAGATTTCTGCACCATGGATCCTTATTTAAGAAATTCCCTCTCCTTTCGAAGCCAAGCTCCATAAATGATAAAATAATAATTACATTAGATGTTATAATCTGAAGGAATTTCTGGTACAAATTTAGACCTATACAGTGGATTATCAAAGTCACAAAGAAAATGATCACACGTTTTACGGGACGATCTTCGTTTTCCCACACACCTCAAAAATCACATATCTTTCTAAACACACATTTTATGACGATACCAAATACTTCTTTTTATAGAGAAAAATCTATATTGAAGAATGGCAACAGCTCATTATAAAACTATAAATGTCTGAGTACCATTCCTGATAGCCATTTCTATCGCTATTCTCTCTGCACTTATCACTTCACATGGTAATCTCACAGTTCCTGCAAAATTGGCCTCCAAAAATATAACCAACCAAATTAAAATGTCGTTAAAACTGTACCCCGCAGCAGATATCCAAACTTCAAATGATTTGATATCTTAACTAATTCTTCGGAGAATTATTTTTTCTTACAATACTTCAAACGGCTGAAAGTCGCGATTTCTTTTATTTTTATCTCGCTTTCACTTTTTTTCAATGTGGGTATCACGACGCAATGGTAGTGATATGTATTTGTACTTATTACTGCATCGTCCGACGGTTTATGGGGTCCATGTGTTATGAGATCGAGCAGGGCCTGAGAAGAAATGCGATTTAAAGAAACCTCTCGGCATGACGTAGCTGCCCATAGATTTCTGGTCGCAAAAAGGAGTGTAAACAAATTGGTCACTTAATAACAGTTAAATAAATATTGTAAAACTGGGAATATCAATTCAGATTTCTTTAAATACAAACCTGGGCAATGAATTTTAATTTTCAAATATTTGTTCATTTCCAAAAATTAGGCTCGCTGACCATAAATTCTTTTTACATACACCTATTTGAAAAAGAATTTGATTTTCAAATACTTCAAACAAAATTTTCTCCTGATCAAAAGTTAGCTATACAAACCATGTTCTTGTGTTATTGTACGGTTTAATTACCAGCAGGGCAGTGCAATACACTTTCATTCTTTGAAAGGCATCTGCGGTGGGATCGTTCACAAAATACAGATGTGTGATAATTAAAACTGCCAAATATGGCCAACCCAGAAAAAATCTCAATAGTGAAATGGACGTCTTGCTTTCAATGTGGAACGAAACGACCGTCTCAAATAACCCCCTCAAATGCTTAACACATGTATAACTGAACTATAAACTTTCAATGTTAAAATGGTCCATTCTCTTCAGTAAAAATGCGTAGATGCTCAAACTAATTTTGACTTCTATTAGTGAAATCTAGCCTTTAGAACAATGCCAATTTTACAATCCATATTAGGAACTCCATTGTAATCAATTTATTTTTAAACATGTCTGGCAAATAGCGTTAAAAAATTCTCCTGCAGGTTTCTTTTTTGACTAATGCAACGCACATTCTACCAAAATATGCTTTTCAGTAAACAATTTTGCCATATCTATCTCCTACTAGATCGCACATTAAGCGACCAATAGGCATTTGTATTTATTTTCAATAGCACATAAATAATCCCTTATTCCGCCATTTCACTAACTTCCGGTTCTATTACGTAATGCTGTCCCTTTGTCGCCAGTCGTTCTTAATGAAGTTATTGATTAAGTATTCAAACTTTATATTTATTATATTTCAATCTCACATATAACGCCATTAAACTTTTATTGATTCGGCCTCTTTATTTTTAGTTTTTAATTCAATGACAAACTTAAGCATCACCAGTGTGCTTCTTCCATCAAGTTTTTTTTTATTACTGTCGAGCGAAAAACATCACCATTTCCTTCATTGTTATCCAATTAGTATGTGTTCTTTTATGACCTCATTTGAAGAAATATTTTCTTTCATTCACATAAGAGAAACTTTTTTTATATATACTGAGTAGCATAGAAATTCATAGCTCTTTAACTTTAAGATCGAGATAAAATAACGATTTAAGTAAAAAGTGATCATCATAACCAACTCAATATACAGTGGAGTAAATAGCATCCTCCCGTACGCTGAGATGTTCACATCATCAACATCATAAAATAATCATCATTATCATCATCATTTAGAGAGAGAGAGAGAGAGAGAGAGAGAGAGGGTCATTGACCCTCTGAAAGGCGAGACAACTCTAACCAGGAAAAATGACTATATTCTTATATTCTTTGGTAACAGTAAATTAGATAAGGTGTCAACTTCAAAGGGATACTGGCTTGGTAGTGAGTGGCCAGAGCATCAGGAATCGACTGTACAGATTTCATTTACACGCTCGACGTCCTCATGCCATTCCCTGTTTGAGGGATCGCCACATTAGGGCCCGACTCCAATGGCGTCGTCACCATCAACGCTTGGATAAATGGCTATGGAACCATGTAATGTACGTTCTCATATGAGTCAAGATTTATCGTGGACTTCCTTGACAGAAGCAGGAGGGTTTGGCTCCGAAGTAACGAACATTTCCACGACATTAACGTTAAAGACATGATCGGTATGGGGTGGAATCTGTATTAGTGTGGGGTGGCATCACTGTTGCCGGTAGAACAGACATGTTGTTGCTGAGCGTGTCACAGGGCAGTACAAACGGGACAACATCTTGGCATTCCATGTTGTGCCGTTGGCACGTTGCTAAGGCCGCCGTTTAATTTTCAAGATGGCAAATGTCATAGCCCAGAATAGTTACAGATTACCCCCAACAGCAGAATATCACCACATAATCATGGCTCGCACTCAGTCCGGGCCTTTCCCCCATCGATCATGTCTGGGACATGCTTGGATAGCGGCTACGCCAACGTCATAAACTTCCCAGTGGCGGATCCAGGAATTTCATAACGAGGGTAGAAGGTAGAGGGATCTGGTAGATGTACCCAAGCCGTAAGGCAAGGTCCTTTTTTGGTGGTCCGGCTGACAAGCTGACAAGTTCGTACAAATAAGAGATGTTTTCCCTTGATTTAAGGATAATGAACATATAATTTTACATACAAAAATTTCAAAAGGGTGGGGGCGCACGCCCTGCCGGCTCTGGATCCGCCTTTGCTTCCTGCCAATGTCCAAGAAAATGCTGCAGCAATGCAACAGGAATGGTATAACCTTCCCCAAAATGACCTAAGACGTCTCATTAGTAGTATGCCACGCCGAATCGGAGCTTGTCTGGCTAATCGAGGGGGTTTTACTTGCTATTGACTTCGTTTCCCAATGGTGGTAAATTTGCTGTTTGACCTTGTGTTAGTGTCGACCCTAATTCTGGAGAATCTGTCCTTTTCTGAATGTACATGTACACAGGGTTTCGAATAAATTGACAATTGTTTCCTTCATGGTTTTGTGCTATTTGTTTCCTTGCTGAGTGACGTTTTTCATCTGTACTAATTTCTAGGCCTGTTACACAATGAAGTGATTTTTTCACGTTTTTCCCGATCATGACAATGAATGCACAAAGGATGTTACCGGTGTGTAGGAGATGCGTACTCCTTCATGGCACCTGGTCCATGCCACCCCTGATGTTTTAGTGGCCGTATTTTCTCTCCACTTGAATTTTATTGTTTGAATGAACCAAAGAGCTTGAATACTGTTTTTCTTCTCATATATCATGTAAATTTTACTTTATAGAATATAAACAGTTCAAAATATTTTTTTAAAAACAAATGCCATCACATGTTTGCTTTTTTATGACTACTTCCCCATTGGATTTTTTTGAGGTCCGTGTTTGCTCTGTTTCACATTTGTATTAATTTTTCCAAGTGGTTTTTGAGCTTCATAACTGTTTGTTACCTTTATATTTCATGCACTCTGCAAGAACTAAAAGTTTATCGCCTTTACGTTTAGTCTGCCCCTAAGACCTAAAATTTCGGACGAAGGCGTAAAAATACAGGTCTCGTGTCGCAGTAGTTGCTGGCACAAAAAAAATCCCTCAATGCTCATTTGCTCTAAATGCCGAGCATAGGTTTAAATTTGCAGCCCCATTTTCGAGAGGGACGTTAAACAACAAACAAACAAACCAAACATCTGTTCCTACTTCGATCACATGTAGAGAATAAAAATTATACATTAAAGGAATTAATTTTTTTAAATTCAAACATCGAAAAATGGAAGCATACAAAATGGGTTCCGAATTGGATCCTTAGTATGCTATGCTTCCTCTGGAAACTGAAACCCGTTCCTTTCAGATGAATAAACTCTCTGTAAACCTTTGCCATGTCCACTCGCCGCTTTGTTCCCCAACAGGTGAGGGAGATGGTTGAATGCAGTCCACAAACCCTGCCCCCTTCAGATGTCTACATCAAATGATGTACTCCTCAGACTTGTAGAAAAAGTTATATAGTTTGTCTTTCTGCTGTATGACTAATGCTCATAAGTCACGAACCTATCACCATACGCCTGAACGTTAACCTGACCAGATATGTTGTCTAAATCGGAGCAGACTTTAATTTCCTACTGAGACTAGTTAATTACTAATACATCACTGAACGTGATGTACTACAATGAGATCGAACAATTATTGGCAATGATCCTCAGTATAATGCTGATTTGGATAACTTGGTTTAAATATTCTGACTTGCCTTTTCTGTCACATTTTCAGTATTCCTTCGATTGGGATTTCAATATGCATTTTCTACCTCATGTTGCTACAAATCTTTCAGAAATGGAAAATAAAAATTTCTTATCGTTCGAGCCCTCAATGAAGCAGAAGTTTTAAAGCAAAATAATTTGAAATTTGTATGAATATTTGATGAGGGAAA